ATAAGACAACTAAGTCTATATTTTTGGATTGTTAATTTATGTATTTATGCACCTAGCTAGTATCATTTTGTAATTCACTTTGTTATAGTTGTTATATATATATATATATATATATATATATATATATATATATATATATATATATATATATATATATATATATATATATATATATATATATATATATATATATATATATTTTCTTGGGAGTTATTTTCCTATGCTTAATTGTATTAACATTAAATTATATCCATGCTGATTCAAATCACCCTCCAAGTATACTAAAACAAATACCACACTCGGTTGAACTTAGATTATCTACAAATTCTTCTACCAAAGAAATATTTCAACAGGCTGTTCCTCTATATAATGAGGCTTTATTAAAGTCTGGTTTTAAATGTAATCTAACATAATCCTAAAGCAATATCAACTAAAAAACGGAACAGAGCACGCAACATCATTTGGTTTAATCCTCCATTTAGCAAAAATGTTAGCACCAACGTAGGAAAATGTTTTTTGAAATTAATTGGCAAACATTTTCCTAATAATAACAAACTACATAAAATCTTTAACAGGAACACAGTCAAAGTTAGCTACAGTTGTATGCCAAGTGTGAAATCGATCATAAATTCGCACAACAAGTACATTTTATACAACGATGCAAACTCTAATCAAGCAAACTGTAACTGCTTAGATAAAAATTTTTGCCCGTTGTCCAATAGATGTTTAACAAGCAGCATTGTATACCAAGCAACTGTAACCACCACTAGTGATTCATCTCCTAACGAAAAATCCTACATCGGTGTAAGTGAGACTTCTTTTAAATTGAGATACGCTAACCACGTTAAATCTTTTAACATCCCAAAATACAAAAATGATACTGAGCTGTCAAAGCAGGTATGGAAAATAAAAGAAGCCAATTTAGTTCCTATAGTTAAGTGGAAAATTCTCAGGCGATGTAAAGCATATAATCCTACATCCAAATCTTGTAAATTATGTCTCACCGAAAAATATGAAATCCTAAATTATAAAAATATCAATCTACTAAATAAAAAGAGTGAGATTGTTTCTAAGTGCAGACATAGAAACAGATTCCTCCTTTCTCAATTTGACACTGGCGATTAGAAAATATGTTTTTTCCATAATATCAGGCCTTGCGATGAATAAGAACTGCGCGACGCATAAGCACGACGTGATTTTTGACGTCATCAAATTCTTTTTATTTGCTTTTCATATTTATCGACATTAACTGCACCAATTTACTTAATTACCGCAAAACTACTTTAAATCGTTTATGTAGAAATGTTATTATTTAAAAATGTTTTGGAATGTTTCGTTTTTTAAAATGTAAAAACATTTGTTCATTTTCTCGACGTTTGTCACGTTTTGTCTATACTAAACGAATAAAAAACATTATAACTTAAATTTAAAAAAGATTATAAAATATGCTAATTTTTGATTTTTTTTTTCTTAAATATGTAATTTAAAGTTTTTCAAATAATTATTTTTTCTTTTTAAAAAGTCAGCGAGTAATAAACTGGAAATTTTAATATTGTACGATAAAAAACTGTGCCATAGCTAATATTTTTACAAGCGATTTTATATAATATTTATTTATTTTTATTTATTTTCATAAAGCGGTTGATAAGCACAATCACTCGTATTAATAAAAAACTTAAACGAACGTTATAATAGATTTTTAATGTTAACAAGGAATTTTATTTCTAGTAAAATAAAATAAAATGTTAGAATAAAAATCTTATAGGTATAAAAGAAATATTTTCAGCGAAAAAATTATTCTTAAAAATTATTCTTAAAAATTATTCGAAAAACTATTGACGTTCTATTGTTCTTGAGCACGCTTCGTTGAGTTTCGGTAACTTTTAACATAAAAGCGATCGTTATTATTTAAGTAATTTTTTTGAGTTACTTTTTACAAAAATTTTAATAACTGTACTTTTTTATTGAATCAAGTAGAATACGTTTTAATATTAGTCTTTTTTTTTTTTTTTATTTGCCCTCACCAATTTTTAAAATGTTTCCTCGAAATTACTCTTAAATACTTTAAATACGTCTAACAGTTAATATATATTTTTAAATCTATGGAATAATTTTAAAACCTATCAAAATCAATCCCAATCAAACCAATCAAAATCAAAAAATCCCCCGTAAAATAATTATTTAAGTTTAAAATCTAAAACTAAAAGAAAGTATTTTTGTTCAATTTTATCGACAACGTTGCTATTGCTGAATAATTTTATTAAAATGTTAGCTTAAAAGATTTAAACTTTTTTTTTAATTTTTGAATTTTTTCTACTTGTAAATAATGAGCATATTTATTTTTTTTTAATTCAAACTTTTATTTCAACTGCGAGCGGTTTTTAAAATAATTTATTAAATGTTAAAATAATCGTAAATTACTTCATTAAAATTCCGCTCAAAAATATCTTTAAATATACTCAAACAAAAAATTTTTTGCTCGACGCAAATGGCCCTAGCT